AAACTGTAAATGAATCATTTAGAAATAGTGTCTCAATCAATCATAAGTTTCATGAAATATAATAAGAAAAGATTTGATTAATGATTAATCGATTTGACAATTTTAATTCAATCAATTTTTTGTACAAAAGTTTAATAAAAGTTAGCTTGAGCCCTGTAATCACCATCTCTGTGTCACTTCAATAAAATGCAAAATTAGGTTTCTTCTTAACTCAAAATCAAATGACCAACTGTAATAATCGGAAATATCTCATTTACTAGAGGCTGCAGTAAGCATGAATGATTGCATATTTATTTCCACTGAGTACAGTGAATTCAATCGAAATTTAAAGACTCAAACTTACAATGAAAAAACCATCGTCAGTGACTTTCTCAGTAACCTGTATTCTGCTTTAACTCTGATATTTTTGTAATTGTAGTTCAACTATTGATTTCATGCTATTATTAATTCATTAATATATAAAAATTTTCATTGAACTCTGTTCAGTTTTTTCACAATTTTCCACAAAAATTTCATGTTTCATGCAAATGGTGAATAAAACATTCATAGATGCTTTTGGCTGCCGACAGTATATTGCTTAGCCAATGAATGCTATGGCTTTCAAAGGAAATGCCTTGAAGGTTGATACTTGATCAAGATGAGATAATTTTCAAAATTAATTCAATAATACTGTTCATCATCTGTTGATCACTTTTTCACATGCGATCTGCTCTAACTCAACTCAAAACCGATTAAGTTGACACAAAAATTGAAGCGTTTTATTCCTACCGAAGAATGTATATCAGCAAAAAAGGAATATCCATTGAGCTTACAAGTTCGCTCAAATGACATTTGAAATGCTATTTTCCGGAGTTCCAATCATCATCAAGGAAAGCTGTTTAACAAGCTTTTTTCGTAACAGTTTGACCTGATCAATTTTAGCCATCAACCTGTAATGGTTGTCTGAAGCTTCACAGTCGGAATCACAGACTGTCTTCAAGTAACGTCCAAGCAAATATACATAAGTTAGTTGTTCATATCTGTAAAAGAAAAAATAAAATTAAAATTATATAATATTAACATTAATCTGAACTCTAATAACATTGAAATAGAGAAACACTAACCTAACAATCTCGGGATGCTTCAGATCAGGTAGATCAGGGTTAAAGATTATTAACAGGTAAATAAGTAGTACAGCTTTGGGGTCATTTCTAAATCGATCTGGAAAGGTTTCAATAATATGCGTTAGACCATCATTCAAGAATCGGTCAAAAAGAAATACATCTCTTCGATCAAAAGTCAATCCAGATTCTGGAAACTAAAATAAGAGCGAAAAAATTGTAACCACAAGATTGAAACAATATTCAGCTTGATTACTTACTTCCCAACCATCAATTGCTGGATCGTAGTTGACTATTCCTTTCATGAGGAAGAGATCATAAAATGTGTTTGATAAAAGAGCTATTTTGTCACATCTTTCAAGTTTCCTGAAACCTCTGATTCCATTGCACATCGAAGCAAGTGCATTTGGATTTGCTTTTAGTTTTGAATTGCTTTTGTCGGATAAGCTTAACGTTAAATGAAAATTTGTTTTACCCTGAAAAGCAGTAATCGCTTCATCCATATATAATCGTTCAAAGCGATCCAATGTTAACTGTTTGGACATGTATTCAGACTTTAAACTTATCGAAGAGTACTGAGTCGCTAATATCTGCTTAACCACATTTGGATGCCATGTTTCAGTCACCTGAGAATTGTCAGTGTTTAATGTTAGTGTCAACTTGTATCCATGTTTAACTAAAAGTATAAAGTTCAACTTTAAATTTTCGCGCCTTCTGTTAGTGACAAGTTGACGATTGGATAGAATGTCTGGTAAATTATTGCCACTCGAATCTGGTCTTGAAGTTGATAAAATTTCTGGTGTACTTTGGTCATGGATTGACTGATCCAACTCCATATCTGAGCAATCATTTTGCACAATTTCCATGGTACTCGTTAGTAAGCTAGAAAACTGTCGACAGGAATAAGCTGATGGCTCATCTAAATCACATAAATAATGTTTGATTGTTCCCTCATCAGGTATGAGAGTCCTTAATAAACTATTGTTTTCAATTGATGATTCTTGGAGTTCACTTTCCATGAGGTCGGAAAATGATTGACTCGGTGTAAAAAACATGGTGAAAGTTGATCAGAAAATAATCAAAAGATGTTCACTGAAACAAAATTTACAATGAAAATCAAAAAATTAAGATGAAACAAATGTTTTGCAGCACAAAGAATGATTTAGGTTCAAAACAGCAAAAGTCAAAATAGCAAAGGACAAAACAGTAAGATACATTTTTATTGATGCAATGGCTCACCAGTAGTCAGGACAGTTTCTTGATTTGCCTGCATTTTCATTTATTATGGTTTACAGATTAATTCTGTTGATTGTAGTTGCTCTTTTTGTATAATCATTAATGATCATCAGCATAAATCTTTTTATCAATCCTTATGAACATATTATCTCTCTATTCATTTCTGCATGTAAAACTAGAATGTCAATAAGAAACTATCAATGAGTCAGATTTACAGATCAGGTAGATAGTGGTGAAAAACAGTTTTAATGTTGACTTTTTTAATTCACCGGTAAATTTTATTCTGTTATTCAATAAAAGAAAGATAATAGAAAAATAAACAAATTGAATTTTTCCTCGATTTGAACATTTCACACATTTGAATATAAACATTTCCAATCATTTTGACGATAAGATCAGAAATTGATTGCTTTGAGTTTTCATCACAAACTTGCATTAATAATAAAAGTCATTCTCGTAGATTATATGGAAACCAGGTTAAAGAGGATCAAAAATTCACCATTTTGAACACATGTACAAGATTTACATGATAACTTGATCCAGATAAGTCTGTTTACTTTTGCGATATGGTGGATGAAACAATCACAATTGTTTCACACCCAATTTCATAATCATTTGCAGCAGCCTGAACAAGTTAATATTGGAAAACATTCGCAACAATTGTGACAAAAATTTGAACCAGAATTGGAGTTGGCCACCCTCGTTATCCTGGTAATGCTAAAACAACGAGTTCTTTCAAATACTTCATTTATTAGTTGATTACAATTTGTTTGCCAACTTCTTAAGCTGTATCTTATTCCATGAATCATGATAGCTCAGCACTTATGTGAGATTACATGATGTGCTTGTGTTTGTCTACTTAACCAAGAAGAATGATGTTGAAAGAGTAGTTCAACTCCTGCTACTCTCATATTCAATATGAAGGCTGATTAAAAGCAAATTGAAGGGTAGAGTTACCCAAAGTCAAATTAAATCATTTAATCATCTATCATAAGGTTGATTATTAAGAGTTAAAAGTTTAAAACTTGATTATAATCCCTAAAGTATTGCACATAATTTCATTTTTGTTTCTCACCAGATTTGTAATCACAAGACTAAGTCTTTTTGCCTTTTTCTGTCTAAGACATCTTTCTAATTGTCTTTCGACAATTGTCTAAATTTGTCTAATTTGATAAATTCTTTTTTCCTTTTCCCTTGTAAAAGATTGGGTTTCCTTCCGATCTGACTGGTATAAATACCACTGATTTTCTTTAATTAATTATGTTCCTTTTTGCCTTAAATTGGTCTTAGTTACTCTTTCTCATGTTTAAGATTTAATCTATGTTTAAAACAAGTGATACACATTTAAAATATAAGTTGAAATACAGTACTTTTTCATTTAATAAAATTTCCTTTTCTTGATAAATCTCAAGTTTCATATCTTAAAGACTAAGTCTAATTATCTAGTTCTTGCCCCTGTAAAGTACTTGTGAAAATCCAGTTTTCCAGTATTTAAAGTGCCTTCTAAATTTGGTTAAGATAGCCTGTTCAAGTGGTAATAAAGACTAAGTCTATGCTGTTAGAATTGAAAGCCAGTGAACTATTGGTAGTGCTACTGATATTGCTTTCAGAATTATATTGTTCTACCTTAAGCTTGTTTTGGTTGGAATTTGGTTTCACTTTCTAAGCTTTCTGACTCGTGCCCGTCCAGCTTTAGTACGCTAACCTGTCCAGTTATTAGTCTAAGACTTAACCAACAACATTCTTGTGGCTTTGTGGTTACTAATTCTGTGGTTAAGAAAAGCTAATCCTTCAATAGTCTAAGACTTGTTTCAGTTGAATTTGTGGTGATCCTAAAAGAACCTGAGTATTCAGGATTTGAAAGGCTTGAATAATCTTCTGAGTTGTAATAAATTGTGTTTGATTTGTACGCAATTGAAGTGAATTTATTTAATTCGGTGAATTAGTTTAAAACTATGAACTCTTCCTTTCAATTGGCGACCTCGGCAGGATTGCCATTAGTGAATTCCTGTTATGTAATTGACTATTGTTTTATGGTAACTGAAAGTGAGAAAACCAACGATGAACAGAATGATCCAAGTGATCAAAGTGATAAAAGTGCTAATACGTCTAAGACATCAACAACACAAACTCAAACTATGCCATTAGTGAAACATCTTATAAAGCATATGGAAATCTTTGAAATGAAACTTTATTTGAAGAATTGGAATGTGCGATTCATTGACAATGATGAAATTGTGAAAGAAAAATTTTATGATGCCATACAGACTATGTTTTCCCTCGAAAGTGTATTTGATGCAACCGATGAAATGGTTGGTGAGACATGTTTTAACGCTCTAACGAGAAAGACAAGTTTTCCTGATTGGATAAAAGAATTGAGAGCTCAAGGCGTAACTGAAAACGATATTCGAGAGATAATCAAGAAAATGGGTTTCGAACCTACAACGATGATGCTGACTAGTGACGTCTCAATTAGAAAATTGCCGATAGCATCTCCTGCGAAAAGATTACTCGAATCTATGGTTAAGAAATGGGCTAAGCCTGCTGAATTGTTACCCGCCAAGTTATCAACCCTGGTATTGATGTACAAGACATCTTGAACAGAACTTTGCCTGATAACTCTCAACATTCTCAAAGTCCTCCTGCCTTAGGCAATAATGCTACTGTAACAAGACAACAGATTGAAGATGCAGATGAAAATGAACATCCTGAAGATGCAGATAGTGATGATGAACCTCGTGCTTTAAATGAAACCGTAGTTTCACCGGTTTTACCAGTTAATCAAACAATTCAAACAACAGTTCCAAGAACAGAAAAAGTTGAGGAGAAAGCTAAGGCTGAACCTAAAACTTATACAAAATGCAAACCAAAGCTACCTAAGCTTCCTGTCTACACTCAAGACGCTATGGATCCTTGGCAATGGTTACAGACAATTAAAAGGATTCTATCTTTGGAACGCTGTCATGATGACGATAGTTGTATGTTTTGCAGAAAGCTATGGCGTATGATTTCTTGCCCTATGCTAAAATTTTAGATAAAGAGAAGCACACCAGCGAGTCATACATTGCTGCATTGGAAGACAAGCTGAGAAATCCAGCGGTAATTTCACAAGCTACATCTGAGTTTCATCAATGTAAGTGGAATTTTGATTCACACCTGCTGAATTTATTAGAAAGTTGGAAACGATGGTAATTAAAGTCAAAGGTGAACCCTCACCTCAAGAGTTCATACAAGATGTATTGATAAGATTGCCAGCAGAAGTCAAAGACTCATTATTTAGGTCCAAATCAGTTCACGATATTCAAGATCTAACTGCCGCTTTGGTCAACGAATATAATATTGAGTTGAGAAAACGCTCTGAGCGTAAGGAATCCAACAAGGATAAGAATGAGAAACGAGGAGATGACCGTAAGCATGCTGCCGTCAATGTTAATGCTAGTGGATCTAGTGGAGCATCAGCATCCTCATCAAGTCGTACGGGGAAAACACCTTTCAGGTGTTACAATTGTAATAATTTGGGTCATTCATCGAGAGAATGCCGTCAACCCAGAAGGTCTAAGACCAGTGAAAATCCTAATTCTAACAAGAATGAAGGTCGAACTGAACGGTTTCAACCCGCTCAGCTAAGGATGGCTAATGCACCAACGTTTGGTCAAAGTCAGAATCAACAAAATTCGAATCAGCCACAGGCTAAAGAATCAGCTAATTTGGTACAAGAAACTAATGTGGTTAATGCATACATGGCGAGAGCACCAGCTAAAGAGTATTCATTCATGATGAATGAGGATGGTAATCAAGAAGTTGAATTGATCACCAAAATTGATCCGTCACCAAGAAACTTTCCGACAGTCAGAATGACTTTATGTTACCCAACGAGGGAAATATTTAAAGTAGGTGATGTATTGCTAGATACTGGCGCTTGCACAAGTTGTATTGATTATCAATTTGCCCAGAAAATGAAAGCCTTCATTATGAAGTCGAATGTTTCAGTTCGGGGTATAATTGCCGATGCCTACCAAACAGTTGAAGGAGCCGCTTATGCTATTTTGAAGCATCCGAAAATGTCTAAGACAAGGATAATCAAGTTCCAGGTAATGAAAGATTTGGAACCAGTGATGGTCTTAGGTAATAGATTCGCCGACGTATATTTTGTTGGAATGGTAAATCATGGAGGTAGATACCAAGTGAATTTACGAGAAAGTGCTGAAAGCGAATGGCTAAGCCCTGAAGTCGCTTTTAGATTTTGCACCGCTGAAGAATCCTGGGGATTGCTTAATGTGCCTGAGATACCCTCTGTTAACACAATTAGTGTCAAAACAGCCGAACAATTGTTACTTGATAGTTTGCCGTATTCACCCTGGATGGATGAAGAATTAAAATCAAACTTTCAATTTCCACAAGTGGAGGTGGACCGAATTCATTATATTCAAGAAATGTCTAAGACACCGGAATTCGAGAATGTAATGCCGATTTATTTGCAAATTGAACAACCTGAACTTCAATTAGCTGAGAGACTTATGAAAAGGATGGATCCTAAATTGAATACTGAAAAACGAAACGAGTTGTTAGAAGTTTTAATGGAGTTTCAAGAAGTTTTCAGTAAGACTAAGTCTGATATGGGATTAGTTCCTTGGCAAAAATGGCCGATAAAAATTGATATTGGCGATCAGAAGATTCCTCATCAACAACCCTATCCATGCACAATTGAGAAACGACGTGAGTTTCAAAAGATAATTGCCGAATTGATTAAGCATGACATAGTCGAGAAGAGTAATGCTCCTGGAGGATCTCCTGCGATGTTGATTGGTAAACCAGATGGAAGTTTCAGACTATTAAATGATTTGAGAGCCGTCAACAGATTAACTAATGTGATATTTCACCCGATGCCAAGAATTGATGATTGTTTGGAAGCAATCAGAGGAACTAAGTTCTTTAACATGTTTGACCTTTACCAAGGCTATTTTCAAATTGAAATCCCTCCAAGTGAACGAGGTAAAACAGTGTTTTTGACGCCTGATGGTAAATACCAGTATAAAAGGTTGCCTATGGGCCTAGCTTGTGCACCTTTCGAGTTTCAACGACTTATGAACACAGTCCTGAATGGTTTAAATTATACCGAATGTTTGGGGTATTTTGACGATATTCCGGTTATGGGAAAAAGTTGGTCAGAACTTTTGTATAATACAAGATTGGTTTTGGATCGACTTAGAGACTGGAACCTAAAAATTAAGACTGATAAATGTCAGTTTGGAGTTACCGAACTAGTGCTGTTAGGACATCTTGTCAATGGAGATGGAATTCGACCTGACCCTAACAAAGTAGCTGCTCTAAAAAGATTACCCTACCCGACCAGTGTGAAGCAACTTCAATCGCAAATGGGTTGCTATAATT